CTGTCGAAGAGTCAAAACTGCCTGATGGCAACGCTGGAAATAAATGGATTGAAACGTCGCTACTTTGCTCGTCTTTGGCTCTGACTACGTAAATGCGCACTGGTCTGTTCCCGAATGCCAACCTAGGACAAGACAAACTCGCTAGAGGCTGCACGAGCAAGGAGCAGCCCCGGGACAGCTGCAGCAGGAGGGTGACTGGAGGTAACGGGCTGTTTGCCTCGCTGCTCTCCCCAGCCGCTCACGTCTTCCGCCTGTACTGAGGTGGCTTTGGCAATAATCCTTCCCCAGACAGGACTGTTTTCCTGTTTTCCGTGAATCCACTGAGGCCTGAGGGTCTCCCCGGACCCAGCTTCACCCTGGGAGCCAGGGCCACCGCAGCGGCCACCAGCAGCACCATAGCTGCGCCAGGCTATGAGCCGGGGCAGGGCCCGGTTGCAACCCTTGCGGCCTGCCTCCTTCCAGGGCCTTTGCATGCCCCGCTTCACCTGCCGCTGAGCGCTGCGTTGCCCCCACACCCAGCAGACGCAGCACGGTTATGTGTCTCGTCTGAGTCAGAAAATACCGCAGGCCGAGGCTCTACTGCTCCGCCTGAGAACAGCCTGCGACAGCCACGGCGTGGGTGCATGCAGCCGGGCTCGCGCCGCAGCTGCAAGGCGTTCAGGCACCTGCCCATGCAACGGGCCGAGCGAAGCTCGCGGCACACACCGTAACCCCTTTTACATGTTGTTTGTGGAACCGCAGTGCAGAGCGGCGCCCTTCAAGTATCAGGGGAGTCTGGTTAACACCTAGAGCAGCCCTTTGTCACCTGCGGCTGGCAGAGGCTTTGGGGCCAGGCCAGCTCTAGCAGGCTGGCGACTGCAGACTGGTGCACAGTCTTTGCAGGCAGCAAACTGTTGGGCAAGAGCTGGCTGCTCTCCTGGACGGCTGCAGCACTCTGCGTATGGAAAATACTGAAAATGGCCCATCTGCGGCATGTAGGTATGTTATAAAGCTTCTTAGATTAATTGCATTATGAACCAGGTGCCTCAAGGAACAAAGAAATGCCCATTCCCATGTAGCATCCTGCCCCCTAACAAGCAGAAACCCTCACTCCTGCCCTCGCCTTCTCCCAGCCTCATCACCACCATGGTTGGGGATGCCCGTGGAGCCAGTTAGTTAATCAAAGAGCTCTGGTCTGGCGCGATGTCTTTCAGATCTGTCTGCAGCCGGTGGACCAAAGCCAACAGCCCAGCACCCCATCTCCTTTGTGGTTTCTCTCCCCCAGACACAGCAACAGCATTTGCTCAGAAGGAAACCAGCCCACGGGCTCTTCCCACCATTTCCCGATGCGCGCTGGGTTTCCTCCCCGCGGTGCCCTGGCCTGGCTCCCCAAGCCAAGACAGTGCGATGACCGCCAGGTCCCCAGGTCCAGGTCAGGGAGAAGAGCCCCACGGCACTGACAAGTCCCGGCTGGCCGATGGCAGAGAAGGGAGCCACTGGCCATAGGTGATGCCCATGACAAGTAAAGATAGCTGGTGCTATCTTCAATTTTTAGCCTTGTAAGAAGCTTGGGTGGTGGCATTTGCTCTAGCTGAAGGCCTGGAAGTCTCCCTTACGAACCCACTGTCTCAGCGGCGCTGGTCTTTTTTTTTTTCTGCCACGTATCCACTGTGAATTGATCCCAGCTTTCAGTCACCCTTGGTCACTGAATTGCACACGGAAACAACCAAGCCAACATTAGCTACCTCTCAACTGATGGTTTTTGCAAATCCTTAACTCAAGATGTAGGCTGCCACCTCTTGGCAGAACTGAAAAGAACTAACAAAACACTATTTAAGTGAAGCCATGAAGTATTTTCTGCGTTATACTCAATTATGAAATTTGCAGATTTGCAAGTAATTCACCCACCACCTAAGCTTGCATTATGACTTTAAGCTTTAGTCTTGCTTTTTTGGTCTGGATTTAATGCTTGCAGAATTATTGCAATTACAGAGTGAGTTGCCCAGGCACACTCTCCTGCCAGGCCCTCCTGTGCTTACCAGGAGGACTTTCTCCAAAATTACGGAGACCGTTTTAACCCAGACAGTGTTCGGAGCCCCTGTCCTGTAGACACCGTTTACTGTGAAGTTTTACCGCAAGATCTGGAGCTGAGATCTGCCACGCGCATAGCACACACTGTGGGCGGCTGCAGCTGCCCTGTGGCCGGGGGCGAGGGGGGCCAGGTCACTCTCTCACTGCATGACCGGGAGGCCATATAGCAGCAAGCAGTGCTAAAGGCTCTAGTTGCCCCAAGGTCTCCTGGATATCCCAAATCTAACCCTTATTTGTCTTTTTTATTCCCCCGCAAAAAAGAAAACAACACCTCACTCAGAAGAACAGCCTGAGCTTGCAGAAACGTGTCCCCACATCTGCAACGGAGCTCACTGTCAACTAAAGCCTCACTAAGACAAACTGATTCCCCAAATCTTAAATAGTAATTTAATCTCAAATATTTACTGCCAGGCTGAGAAGAACTTTCAGGAATTTACTGAATCTGTATTTCTAGGAGGTAGCTTGGAAAGGCCGGAGCAGTGCTGCTCAGATGTCCGCGGGGAACCGAGGTAGGGGAAACGTTTGTGAGCTCTCGCCAGCACTAGCAAGAGCACTAATCCCCCCATCCCTGTACGCGTAGCGCGCAGCACGCAGCCCCGGCCGTCTCGGTCAGTGGCTGCAGGGGCCCGACACAGCAGGAACGAGCAGGAAACGCTGGAGGTGAGGAGTCTGTGACCCATCCGCAGGCCGACCACCAATAGTCCCAAGAGCAAATCTGGCCAGAAAAACAACCGTCGATCTTTGGATAATTCCAAACAGACGGAAAACGAAGCTGAATTCGGAGAGGAGGCATCCCCCAGGGCTCTGCTACACCTCGCAAGCTTCAGGTTGAAAAATGATGTGTTACTGAGCTGGTCGCGTCCCCAGGACAAGCTTGAGCCTGCGCGTGTACACAGCTACCGGGAAAGCACATCTCCCTGGGAACGCGCTCTCCGTTTCTTGCCGGGAGGACCTCAGTTCTCATCCGCGTGAAAACTGAGAACGAAAAGCTGCCAACCTGCTAACTCCCCCCGCGCAGACGGTGGCGGCTGTCAGCGCGCGGGGCCCGGCCCAGGCACCCCTCCAAAGCTGCAGCTTCGAAACGCCAAAGCCAGCGGCAAGCTCTCAAGAAAGAAACTTTTGTGCAAGATCTATGTCCTAGGCACCGCGATCTCACCAGATTGCCCCAAATGCCGCGCAGCTGGGTTTGGAGAACCCTTCCACCCAGTGGTCAAACCGCTGCAAGCAGTGGTGGGGACGTCTCGCTTGGCGACAGCACCCAGCCTGTGCTCCAGCTGCTCCTCACCCCCCTGCCCAATGCATATAGGACACGTGCTCTTCCTAATGATCTTAGTGATTAAACAAGAGCAGGATTAAGCCAAATGCACTGGCTACAGTTGAAGTGGTGCACCGCTGGCAGCCCGGCCTCCGACCCGGCGTGCACAGCCTTACCTTGCAGCGCGCTGGGCATGGCTACGTTTTCCCTCTAGTGCTGCTGAGCTTCAGCACCTTGACCTGACTTCTGCAGCTGTGGTTTACATGTAGGGTTTGGGGATCCCTTTGAATGAAAAGGCCTAAGGAGGTACCAGATGCAACTGTTCAGGCTTCAGTGTTGCTGTTCTCCCTGGCTGAGCTCAGAAGAGGCCTGGTGATCCCGTTTCCCAAGGAAGGAACTGCGGGTGCAGCTTGGCAGGGGAGATGTCAAGGCCCATCCCAAACTGCTGATGGATCCAAGACCCTTGGCTCTTTCTTTGGTGCGGCTGGTTTGGAGGCAACATGGTGCAATTTTGCACTGTGCCACAGGCAAGTGTATCAATTATCTCATCCCTGTCCATCTGCTACATGTTGGGGGTTTCTTTGGATTTTCTGTAAAGTTGTTTAAGTTTTTAAGAATTTTTCTAAATTCCATTAACATGGTTGTGG